TTGTGTACAATAGGTACCTAAAAGATAAAGTGCCATGAGATCGATTTACGTGCATCGTTCAACAAAAGCTTAGTTGAGGTGTCTTTTATGTGCCATAAGTGCTATTAGACGAAAGACTAGTCACTGTACATGTGGAATTACACGGCACAACTACAAGAGAGCCCTTGTAACATTGACTACAAACCACCAAGGTAGTGACAAGTGGCCTGAAATAACGCTAACAAACAAGAAAAAAGAAAGACAGAAAGAACGACAATGCCGTGGTGGCAAAGCATCCATCCAGAGAAGACATACGAGCATCTAGTAGAAACGGCGGCAAAGCATCCACCAGTGAAGACCAAACGACCACGATGGTCAATTATCCGCGAAGCAGTGGGCCAACATGCTCTCGGCAGCAAAGCATCTACCAAGAGGGGACCAACGAGACAACGTGGCAAAGCATCTGCCAAAAGCATCACGACCATTGCACTCTTGGCAGCAACACATCTGCCAAAGAGGAGACTAGTGACAACGACGACAAAGCATCCACCAGAGAATCCAGAGACGGCCAAGTATCCCCCTTGGGAGAAATGATAGCGGCAAAGCATCCGCTAAGAAAGCCAAACGACGACGGCAAGGTCAAGCATGGTAGGATAGACCATTGCGAGGAATGCATATAGGCCCACACAGGCACAAATGAGGAACACCACAAGCATCATGGCAGGAACCATGGGAGGCGGCAACCACATGGCAGCAGGTGCCAATGGGCAAGGGGCCAAAGGGAGCAAGGCACGAGCCACGGGTGATTCTCCAGTGATGCCTTCAGGAAGGGGGTAACGCCCAAGGGTATCACCATGGATGCCACCGCAGTTGGCCTTAATAATAAGGCGAGGCTTACACCCAGAATTTGGCACCGTCGATGTAGACTGAAGCATGGTGTTCTTCAGCGACACCTCGAAGGAGGTACATGGTGCTCGAGGCGTCACCGTCGTCGGCTCGGCCAAAACTTGGCTGAGCTTTTGCCCAGAACCCCATGCATCAGAGAGCAGGCCCCTAGCCACCACCCCCCACGGGGAAGTAATGCGTGCGTGTTGTGGGCGTCTGCGTTGTACTGTGTAATTCTAAAAAAAAGGAGCCGATGCAGGCGCCACCATTCGCATCCATGCCGGCTATGACAGAGGCGCACGTGTGCCACTTCAGGACATCAAGATCCCCAGGTCCTCGCAGTTGTGTGTGGCGATGTCTATTTTATTCTCACAGGTTCAGTTTGCTTGGGTGTTTAAGGTCGAGGGTCTCTCTCTCCCCCCCCTCCTCCCCAACTTTTTTGTTGATGCTCTAGTTTGTCCCAAGTCGTTGATCACTGACTCAGTGGTCTGTAACTTGCACTACGAGGGTTTTCTCGTAGTTACGTTGTGTGATTCTCTTTCTCTTAATGAAACACGTGCTAGAGTACGTTTGTGATTTTTAAAATTTCCAGCAGGTGTGATGTTGACATGGACATGCATGGGGAACGATGGTCAGAGCAGTGGGGCCTGCTCAAGGAAATTAAAGCCGTCCATCACGATCAATAAGAATGTGATTGTGCGGAGACTGAAAAGGCACTCAACTTTTGTGCAACCACCCACAACACAACTAACTAACGTCTGCGGCTTATTAGCTGAGCTTTGCTGTCATGCTCATGCATGATATGATGCATCCATCCTTCAATTCCTCCTCGTGAAGTACAGTTGAATTTCTTCATTCGAAACCACATCATGTATATTGTACTATCGGAATTGTGCTTATTAGTTCCGGACATCTAGATATATTGGTAATTGTGTTGTTTGGTTTGTAAAACACATCTAGATTTTACATTTCATATTAGGTTTATTCTAAGTCAAACTTTTTCTAACTTTGACCATCAATTTCGAAAAACCCATATATAGTTTTACAACATGTGAATCATATGTTATGAAATCATTTTTCATAATAAATATAAAAACTTAAATCTTATATTGCTAACTTATATACTTTTTTTAGCGAGATGGTCAAAGATAGAAGTGTTGGAGTTAAGACAAAGCTAATATGACATGTAATAAAAAAAGTATAAGGTGATTTTGTTACCCGCGCACCATTTGCCGGCGGTCAGATTCTAACCTTATGATGAGTCAATCCACGCTAGTCAAGTGGATGAGGGAGGCTGGAATAATGCTACAGGAGGGACGAAATTCATGCTGATGGTCCACTAGCTACCAAGAAGCTAGTTATATATATAGAATGCTATGCTTTGTGAGATTTGGCGTTGTTTGGTTGTAGGATTATTATTGATAATGCAAACGTAAAGGAATCGAAGCTTTCGACGATACGGCAACACATATGATGTGATGATCTGATTTTATTTCCATTTGCTTTAGTATTCTACTCCCTTGGTCTAAAAAAGGTGATGTTATGTGATTTGAGAGTTATCCCAGAAAAAATGATGTTATGAGTTTTAGACACGTTTTGGACCCACAAGAAGTCTGCATATGCTTCCATGTAGCTCATGTTAATTAGGCAAGTAGAGCACGGGACATTCTTTTTTAAGGGAATCAAGTCCAACAAACTAAGGATATTATGGATATTTCTCTTCTCCACTATTGTCTGAAAAATCCTAGAACATCAGTTTTTTGGGACGAAGCCACGGAGGGAGTACAAACCAAACAACATGTAAATGGGAGGACCTTAGCTACTTTCAAATGGGACCTTATTGGAGTGTCTTCAGCTATCGGAGCTGATGTTTTTTTTATAAATATGTAATATAACATTTAGGACAAACTAATCATATATATCATCATATTTAACAACGGAGATCGAGGGAGGGAGTACTTCTCTTGAGCTGTTCTACCTAATTAATTGTACTGGTTGGCTGCTTTAGTTTTTTCTTTTGTTTGTTGATTGAATGGTCTCTCCTGCCACGCAGGGACGTACTACTACACGAGCATGCATGCAATTAATCACTTATACGGAGAGAGAGTATGAACGATTATCTGTTCCTTGGAACAACGGATTATTGTCATCCACAGAGGGCATGCATGGGTAGCTAGAGAGGCTATATATACGTACGTACATACATACATATACATGCATATATGTACTATGACTATGCTGATTGCCTGCGCAGCATCTATCCTGGAATACATATATACATATATATATGTACGTATATAACCACGTATATATGTACGTGCGTACTGTCTATATGACAGAGACGAAAGTAGTAAGCAGCAAGTCAAAGTACCTACTCCTACACAATAGCTAGTACGTAGTAGGCTAGTAGCTACGAGACAGGCTGATACACCTACTCATAGTCTCATACACCAAGCGTCCAAGCGGGACATCACCGGGGCACCCACGACACAAGTGCTAGCTATGCGACTACCTACGCGTCTGGGAACTACTACGCTCACTCGTTCTACAACCACTGCAGCCGGATCGCTTCGTGTGGAAGTGGTCGTCCAGTGGCAACGTATAGAGCTTTCTTTGCCTGATCAACCAAGGAACTATGGAAGGTCAAAGCACCGCCACGAGTGAAGCTTTTCTTCTGGCTAGCCCTGCATCGCCGTCTCTGGACCTCCGAGTGACGCAAACGCCATGGGCTACACAGCCTCTTTGCTTGTTTGCTTGTTGGTTTCAGACAGGGTTTATCAGTCATGGTATAATATTTTCTCTCACAATCAATCAGCACCAGTCAGGCTTATCAGGCCAGAAACCAACCAGCGAACAGGCTGACAGAACGACGACGCGTGCGCCTTGTGTGACCAAGCACCTGAAACAGGGAGCCACCTCTTCCTTGGGTGCGTGTTCACCAAGCAGGTCTGGCTAGCGTTGCTCCGGCCACTGCAGCTGCTGCCCCTAATGCCGAGCAGTGACGATGACCTCGGTGAATGGTGGCTTCATCAACGGCGCCGCTTCGACCAGGCGTCCAGGCCGCTGTTCGACTCCCTGCTGCTTTTGGTCGCATGGTCAGTGTGGAAGGAGAGGAACTGCAGGCCTTCATCCGTGCAGACTGTGGTGCAGGCGGCGGTAAAGGAAGGAGAGGACTGGGCGAGGATGGCCCGAGTTCGCGCCGTTATCAGCGTTAGCTCACCTCTGGTTGCAAAACTCAGCTGCAATGTAACACCATCCTGTGAATCCAGTAGCTAGGTTCCTTTCTCGAGGCGGTGTTTGAGGCTCCTCGCCAGAAACAACGTCAGTGGTGTACGGCCCGAAACTCTAATTCTCTTAATGAAAAACAGGTTCAACCCGGTCGTGAAAAAACCAAGCGTCCAAGCGGTGACTCATCAGGATCGTATCATATCGTATCGGAGCAGCATGTCATGTGCATGAATATATCCTCTCTTTGCCTCACGTTGGACTCTAACAGATGCTATTTTCATTCGTTCTCCACTCTCTTTCACACCGTACCTACCTTCGAAATTCTAGTCAGTCGTCTACACTGCTCCTGCACTGCGTGCCGTACCAGATGGATGCAGACACAAATAAAGCTGACTGCTGATACAAACAAACAAAAAGATTAGTTCCTGGTATGACCAATCTCGAACACAAGCCAAAGACTTTAGGGTACCAGTCTGCTTATTAGTCCACACTCCACACAGTAGGTACTATATACTTTCTATAAAGGTTGTCAGTTGTGATTGATTGTAGTTTCACCTTTTCCCAACCTTTTGCCTTGATGTTGCCACACTTCTTTCTTCCACAAAAGCCATCTCACACAACACCTATATATGCAGACACATACATCTAGTTAAATAGATAGAATGATCCATGTTCCATGATGACCTCACCTTTGTTTTGGTCTTCTCTGAGTTAGATATGGATCGGTGACGAACGCTATGATGCAATAGCTAGCAGCAAAGAGATGCATGTCACAACTCACAAGAGAGAGTTGGACCTGCTCAGCTCATCGCCCATCAACATCGTCTGCTACTACTGCTGCTGCCCTGTTCTAGTTGATAGAGTTGGTCGCCGGCCGGCGGCGCTGGTGATCCACGGGCCGGTCGCGCATGGCGGGAGATAGTAGCAAAGGCTTCGACGATGAGAGCTCTGCAGATCAGCTGCTGCCGTCCGGCGGTGGATCTGGGGACGACGGGGAGGGTGATGATGCTGGTGGCGCCGATGTGCCTCGCGCGCACGACGGGAGCTCAAGCAATAGCAGCACGGTGGAGCTGGATGAAGCCGGCGGGGACAGCGGCAGGAAGGCCACCGGCGCCTCGCCGTCCTCGGTGCGCCCCTACGTCCGCTCCAAGAACCCCCGCCTCCGCTGGACACCGGAGCTCCACCTCTGCTTCCTCCGCGCCGTCGACAGGCTCGGCGGCCAAGACCGTAAGCAAACCACGCCTCCTGATTATATATTAGCTAGTTTCCTAGTTTCAGTAATAAATCTCTCTCTTGTGATTTCAGTTCATTTCATGCATGCTTGTGTTGTGTGTGTATATAGGTGCAACTCCAAAGCTCGTTCTTCAACTGATGAACGTTAAAGGGCTTAGCATAGGCCATGTCAAGAGCCATCTCCAAGTATATATACATATATATGCACATCTCTTCACCCTTCTTATCCCTAATTTGGTTAATTCAATTAATTTCTTGCTGGTTAATTTCACAATGTTCCATATTTTCTTTTGATAACTTTCAGATGTACAGGAGCAAGAAGATCGACGACTCAGGCCAGGGTAAGACTAATTCTTGAGCAACATCTCGTTGTTTCAGTTCATAGACTCGGTTATCGACTTATCGTTCATGTATGTATAACTACCCCTTGACATGGTAAATTATAATACTCTTTTACAGTGATAGGCACTGGTTCATGGGGAGATCTTCATCAGCTGCATGACGGGGGACAAGCGTACAACCTCGGCCATCTCTCCTTGCATCACGGCCAGACTGGTGCTAGTACCATATTGTCAGCAAGGTAGTTGGATGGATCCATGGCTGATCATGCATGGAACACTTGCAAATAAAATCCGCCATTAAATTTCTACGTCTTTTTGTTGTGTCAACCATAAGCAGGCAGCACATGGTTCTCAAACTAATAATGCCATTAATTGGTTTATGTGGACTAGGTTTGGTGCATGGCCCCATTGGAACAATTTCCATGATCCATCATATTTGCTTCACAGTCACCATCTTCTTGGATCAAAACCCTACTACTCATCGACAGCTGAAGCCGACACATTCCTTAGAACCCGTGCTCAGTATATTGCTAGTAGAGCTACTAGCAGCAGCACTCCAGCGTCTACTCTTGAAAGGTGTTTATCATATCAAAATGATCAATTCATGAATCATCATCAACGACGACTGCCGTGCAATGAGGATAATATCCACCATGATCCCCTTGATCTCGAACTCGCATTGGATATTGGCCCACGCCAGGACAAGAGAATAAAGAGATCAAGTTGTAGCTGGGGAAGACATCAAGAAGAGAAGAATGACGAGGATCAAGAAGTCGAGAGTACTACTGATGATACTAGGCTATCTCTTTCTTTGTTCCCATCTCCTCCTTGTGCGAGGACCAATAATGGCGGTCATCATAAATTCCTAGGTGTCAATATGGAAAAAGGGAAAGTGCATCCAACAAGGACAAGTACTCTTGATCTCACCATATGATCTAGCTAGTCGTCCAGTATGGTGATATCTTGTGGTACTTATCCATTTATGTAGAGGAAGGCACATATGAAAGTATAAATATTTGTAGAATGTAGAGCTATTAATTATATATACATATATGATCTTTTGAGTTCAATTAGGCTGTGTATATTCAAAGTAGCGTTGACAAATTTTCCTATAAACTCCTTAAGAATTATTATTTTGATATATGCACGGTCATGAACATTCGCTTTTAATGATTATAAAGACATATATAGAGACAATGTTTTAGCTTCCCCCCATATATATAGAAACTTTATTAAGTATGATCATCATTTGTCATAACAGTGTATTGAGATATATTTTACGAGGTAATCTTTGTCACACATATGTCCAAGTGAAGTCAACTTATCGATTAATTACTTGACTTTGTGACATTTGGTTCAATTCATTTTATCCTTTCTAGTTTTTGCATCACTCTCTGCTCTTCATTCTCTCTTTCAATATGCACCTTCTCATGCTCTACAAGGAGAAATTATAAAAATATTGATGCTTCAAGTTCAAAATAGTGTCTAATTGCTTACCTAAGAGAAAGCTTCACAAAATAAAAGGTTACCACCAAAGAGAAAATGGGCCATTGATTATAGTTATCTCCTTTGATTATATAGGTAAAGTTACTATTGCTAGTTTTCTACTGCCTGCGCTTGTGTTTATTAGGTGTATATGAACATGAAAAAGTCTTTTTGACAACCAATTTATTCTCTCACAACATATCATTAATTGCTACATGTCATATTAAAAGAATTAATAAAATGTAAATATATTCATATGGCTTTTTAAAATCCTAATATGCCTACTAAAAATGAATGGAAGGGAGTTCTTGTTTGGTCTGACTTGTATTGTGGAATTTTTTTTATTTTAACTTGCAATTAATTATGAACTAATTCCATTCCCTTTCCTTGGAAAAATTCATGAACCTCAAAATAATTATTCAGTGGGTAATATAATGAGGAATGCACAAGCCATCCAACCATAAAAAATACGCCCTCTATCCGTGAAAGAATAGATTTCTAGCAAGTTTAGGACAAAAGAAACAAGAATAAGATATATTAAATGTTATTGCTTCTTAACTTTAACTACATCAACTAGTTGAACAGTTTTGATATCCAGTAGGAATGAATGTTACGTTGATACATCGCTTGAAATATCGGAGGAATAAAATAAATGAGAAAATAAATGGGTGATGTGGGTGATGAGGACCTAGAAGTTGATTTATTCATGGACAAATTTTCAGCATAGAAATCTATTCTTTCATGGTCGAATGGAGTAGTTCATTTTTGTGTGGGAACAATTTTGCATGTACCACTAAAACATAAGCATGTAAGTCTCTAATCGAGGTTGACACTCTTAACATGCAAATCATGTCGATGAGTTATTCTGCATCATATAATTTATAGTGACAAACACAAAGCTAATGAACTTTTATTATGAGTTCTCAAGAGCGCATATTAGGACTCCATGTAGCGTTTTGTTTTCCCAAAAATTGCTAGCAAGAGTATATTAATGGAAGAGAGAACAGTGCCAGAGAACAAAAGAATAAAGGTGTACCAAAAAGATGACTTTATGTAGTGTGAGTACTAGAATAGAATTATTAGGTTGAGAAGCGCCTTGTTCGTTTGACTTATAAGTCGTACTTTTTTAGCCAACGAACATTATTTTTCTCTCACAACAAATCAGCCAACAATACTTTCAGTCATGGCTTATCAGCCAAGCGAACAGGGCAAGACAATGATAGTTGAGCGACAAGGATGCAGTGTATTGGAGGGAGACACACCATGATAAGATAATTTGGAAGGGCAAAAGAGGAAAATATATCATCATAAAGCCATGCTAAACAAGGTCTTAGAGTGATACTCAAATGGTTGTACACTTATAATGATTGAAGGATGGACTTAGACCCTCTGGTCTATATAAGGTTTCAAGTTTCGTTTTTTATTCACATTCTTTGTAGTGCTAGCTTTGTCTATTCATAAACTTAAATATTTTTTATGATAGAAAAATAAACTTAAATATTTTTTTGAGTACATATATGCTGCAGGGACTTGAGATGCATTTTTTTCTCAATTGAAGAAATATAATGATTGAATATAGCTTTAATTATATATTCCTTCATTCGAGAAAAGAGCGAACTGAATATAGCTACAGTGCAAGAAGAAACCGAAACCATGTGGAGCTGGCGGGTGGGCACTTGGGCTGTTCGGATATCCCATGGAAAATGGAAATTTGGTGAAAAATCCATGAGAAGATAACCAGGGAAAAATCAGAAATCCTAAATAAAAGAAGATAAATTTGGTTGACATTTTTCTTCAACAAAGACATGACCTAATGCATGCCTTGTTTAATAAACCGAGAAATAGGGTACTCATTACACATAGTAAAGACTGTCTCCAACAGGTGATCCATTAGGGCACCCAAACCTAAAATGGGTCTCCACCAGTACTATATCAGCCTCCAATAGAGTATCCATAAATGAGACCCATTTTGAGTGCCGGGAGAAGCATAATCTAAATATAAGTATCCTCTCTCCTGGAGACTCATTTACAGAAAGAATTCTCTTTTGAGTTTTGTTGTTGGAGAAGATAAAAAATGGGTATTGAGCCATTTAACCTGTAGCGTTACCCAAACATGGAATGTGTCTTGTATTTTGGGTGTCGTTGTTGGAGATAGCCAGATATGAGACACCAATAGAGTATTACTTATTGGTCCGTCCTTGAAAAAAAAAATTCTACTTCTAAAGTTGTCTAAAATTAAATTTCTAAAGTGGATCGGATTTTATAGAAACAAATTTTATGACACAAAACTAGTATAGTTAAATACCTTCTCCGTCCCCGAATATAAGGCTAGTCTCAGTGGAAGTTTCACTAGTGTTTCATTTGTATTTAATAGTCTGCCACATATATACTTTTGATGATGTGGCAATGTTTTAATAAAGTGAGAGAAGAATTGGGTTTCATGGAAATGAAACTCTCTTGGCAGTCATAGAATTAAATGTTTATGAAACTATGGAATAAAACTTTCCATTAAGAATGAGTGTTTCATCCAAGTTTTATTTCATTCTATATGACATGACAATCTTGAAAACAAGGAAATGAAACTCTCCATTAAAACTGGCATAAGGCATGCACATATTTCAAAATCCTGACTAATAATTATACTAATTATTTCAAAAGTTTATATTACAAAAATAGTTACATTAGATTTGTATTTAGAAATACTTTCTAATGATCAAACTTTTGTTCCTATAAATTATATATTATAAGAAAAAATATAGGTCAAAATATATTCTTAAAGACTACACCAAGTTAAATCCCGTCTTATATTGGGGACCGAGGGAGTATACCATAGAATATATTTTTATATTATAGGTTTTTTTGTCATAGATATTAGTTTCTATTTATTTAAAAAATTAATCAAATTTAAAATAGTTTAATTTAGGTTACTAGATTATTTCTGTCTGCCCTGAAACGAAAACATTTTCTGTACTCCATAATTTGGTATTTATTGCTCGTGCTAACATTATATTCAAATTCAAGTAGTAATCAAATCGTTCCAAGCTGCCTGCTGCCCTGAAACCCCACGCTCAAAAGTCAACCACCAAACTCAAGCAATATACTGCAGCTTCACTAGTCATACTATGAATAGTCTATAATTTATTAGTTACCACTTTTGAAGCTTATTGACTTCTTTTTCCCTTTCAAGATGAATTTACTGATTGGTCTCTGTATGTCTTTCTCTGTGCATTCTAGAAACTCTGCAGGAAACTGGTGCACATAACTGTCGGACTAGTGTATTTCCTGATGTGGCCTTTGTTCAGGTAAAGTAAAAATTAGGCCACCAACAAAGTCTATCTACCTTACTGCAAATGATTCCTTTCCTTGCTCATTTCGCTTTCAGTTCAGACGATGTGTTTGCTCCATTTCTTTCTCCCCTTATCATCATCATCAACATCATAAAGGTGACAGTGATTGGACTTGGTTTGGTGGAAGATAAAGGTGTGCTGAACTCGATGACCAGGCATGGAGACCACAGGTATATTTTGTAGTGATCATATATTTGTTGCTGCCATGCTTCTTGAAAACACTGAGTCAGGCCTGGTGCAGTGGTGAGAGCTGTCTCACTGAATCATCAGGTCGTGGATTCGAAGCAGCCTCTCCGTAGATTTGCGGGGAAGGGCTGCCTCGGTTTTTCCTTCCCCTAGACCCCACTCATGTGGGAGTCTCCGGCACTAGGTGTACCCTTTTTTTATGCTTCTTGAACACACTGCAGAGGAGGCTGTGGTTGTGTTGTGCATATACTTTCTTGTGCTTGTAGCTATGTTCAGCAGGATCGTGTAGCTGTCGTATGTCACCAATTGCGTTGTGTAATACCGGATACTTGACCTTTGTAGATGGCTTTTTGGTAAGCCTAGGTTTACTGACAGGCTTTTTGCATTTGTTTCTTTCTCCTCTTAACAAAAAACATGCCAAGGCAGAGTTCTGAAAAAATACATTTTTTTTGCTGAACCAAGTAGCATTTTTTTTTCTGCCAACTCTGAGGAAGAACTAACTATTCCAAGCTTTTGCCTCTTGATTGACTCCAGAGAACTACTCAAGGGCCCGTTGTATTATGCTTGTGCTATAACTCTGACAACAATAGTTTTCTGGAGGACATCACCCATCTCAATCGCCGTGATCTGCAACCTGTGCGCCGGAGACGGTATTAGCTCTGCTTCTTTCTACTATTGCAATTACAGTCTGTGCCTGAATGCCTGTTAGTTAGTAGCAGAAGAGATTGCTCTGTAGCCACAACTGCCTCTTTCTTTCTTCAGGTGAAACCTGAATCCAGCATGCTGTTTCTTTCAGGCGTTGCTGACATATTTGGGAGACGATTCGGGCATGTGAAGCTCCCTCACAACCGTAAACAGTCTATCTGGTATACCTTTTTATATTCAACACTATTGCTGAAACCTGAAGACTCTGCATACATAACCTGAACCTGAAACTGCTATACATGTGTTGTGATATGTGTATATGAACCCAGGTTCATGTGCTACTTCAACATTTTTGGGTTTGTTGAGAAGAGCTGGACCATGGTCGCTGCCTTGGGTATCATATCCCTGGTTGCAGCAGTTGTGGAGTCACTCCCGATCAGCACACGTCTTGATGACAATCTGACGGTTCCTGTTGCATCAGTGCTATTTGGCGCCCTGGTCTTCTATTCCATCGGAGCCAGGAACCTGTGCTGCATGAGCAGCGAAAACAGGAGAAGTATTGCAGCAACCGTTGGGATGGTGTTTGCAGGCAGCAGCAGCAGCAGCAGCTGAAACAAGTAGCCACAGTCCAGGAGCAGAGTTGAGGAGAAAGTGCAGAGAGAGGAGTGCTTCAATCCTGATGTGTGTGTGTGTGTATCTTGTCTTGTAACCATTTTTCTGTCTAAGCAGATATTCTTGTAACTTGACAATTATTAAGAAAGATAAAGAAAGAGGAAAAACGGGAATAAGTTTATATTCAGGAAAAGAGAGCAGGAGCTCATAAGTAGGTGGAAACTGCAACAGAGTTGGCATTGCATTTTGTGATGCGTTCAGAAACTTTTGAATACTTGGTGGTTTGTTGTGATGTACAGCGTAAGTAAAAGAAAACAAAATAACACATTCAATCACCAAGAATTTGTCAGAGTTCTCGTAAGGAAGAAAGTCATGTGATTGGCCAAGTTGAAAAGGAATTGAAATTGAGAAAAAATATCTTTCTGGAAAAAAGGAAAAAGAATAAAAAAATTTGTCAGAGTTGTCGTAAGGAAGAAAGTCATGTGATTGGCCAAGTTTATAAGGAAGAAAGTAATGTGATTGGCCAAGTTGAAAAAGGAATTGAAATTGAGAAAAAAAATCTTTCTGGAAAAAAGGAAAAAGAATAAAAATAAAAAAACAAAGTCATGTGATTGGCCAAGTTGAAAAAGGAATTGAAATTGAGAAAAAAATATCTTTCTGGAAAAAAGGAAAAAGAATAAAAAATAAATAAAGTCATGATTGGCCAAGTTTATAGGGAAGAAAGTCATGTGATTGGCCAAGTTGAAAAAAGAATTGAAATTGAGAAAAAAAAATCTATTTGGAAAAAAAAGGAAAAAGAATAAAAAAAAAATTGGCCCATGCAGGTCTCAACGTGCGACCTTCGTGTTATTAGCATGACGATCTAACCAACTGAGCTAATAGGCCAGTTTGGCTAATTTAGAATTGACTCTATATTCATTAGCTTTGTAGTATTAGTGTCTTGTTACTGGCATAGTAGCCAAATCACTTCTAGCCAAAATACGAGTTAATTAGGATCTTCATCCTCCATATATAAGCACAAATGAGGAGGCTTTGCAAAAGGTAGTCCAGTAATGGTTTCACGGTAGGACAAAAAAAAAAAAAACAACTGAGATTTTTCCACCCGCCATTCCATAATTCTGTTCTCACATGTCACTAATTTTAGTCAGCCTATCGATCTGACCATAATTTCGAAAAGATTAGTTATGGAAGAATACATAACCATTGTCACATCTACACGCACGCACACATGCATATACAAATTTTTGTGTGCGCTGTGTGATAAGCTTCTCTATTGTAATAACTTTGGATGGCTGAAAAGTCAGGTTAAACATTCTTGGCCGTAATATAAATTTGGTGATAACTATTATGAAGTTTTCACCAAGAAATATACTTGCAAAAAACTTTTGTTCTGAAAATGCAATAGTATTAGTCCAAAGATAAGAACATGGATGGCCTAATAATTGCTAATATCGATGAATTATTAGAGGTTTTGGGGACACTGCCCCCCCCTATATAACCCTTTTTGTTACTTGTGTAATTTTGGTGATAAAGTAGAACAGGACGTCCTACTTGAATAGTTGAATTGAATAGAAAGCCATTCGGTTTTATTTAGGAAATGCAGATAACCAAGACCGTCGCTGGTTCTGAAATGAAAGTAAGATACAGATACAATACAGTGTAGTATCGATTATTCCAGTGACGCTACTGATGATTTCAAGCAAAAATCGGCGCGGTATATATATAATGTAGTGCCTGTTATTCCCTTGATGACATTATTATCGAGTAATATAAAAACACGAATACACGATCATTTCAAACCAAAGCACGATCATCATTACTACACCACCGTAGAAAGATTGCAAAGTGCACGATCTGGAGGTTGGGCTGTAACACTTTTGTCTGATGCTTCAAATAGTGATGGGCCAAGCCCAGTTCAGGCGCGAAGAGGAAGGAAGCCATCATCTCCTTCTCTCACGGTCTTCACCAGACAAGAACGCAAAACCCTAGAGGAGCCGCCGCCGTAGCTTTCGCCGCCTCCGCAGCTCAGGGGAGTGGACGGGCGATGCCGAAATCCAAGCGCAACCGCCCAGGTGAGCTCCCACCCTTCAGCTTCTCCTCCTCCCCCTTCCGTCCCTCGACCTCTCTGGCGTCGTTGCCTGCCTAGCCTCAACACCACTGCGCGGTGTTCCATGGAGGGGATGCACCGTGTTATGCTACTTGACCTGGGGCGGGCGCTAGTTCCGTGTAACATTGTAGCGGTTCCTTGTACGTTTCTCGCTTTGTGGGCTCGCCGATTGCTGTTGCCTGTACAAATTTGTGCTTTCTGAAAAGAGTTGTCTTTTCTGTGCATTCGTATTCGCACCAAATTTTGTTTGGTAATTTTCCCCTTTTGCATCTTTTTTTTCCTTCTTCTTTTTTTTACTTCTATAGTGATCAAGAGCAGAGCAAATACCTACAAGCTTTCAAACAACAAATATACTTCTTAGCTTGCACAACAGCCTTGCTGTAAATTATGCTGATTCACACTGACTCTCTGCTCGCTGGACGCAGTGACCTTATCAAAGACCAAGAAGAAGCCAGGTTTAGAGCGCAAGGGCAAAGTAGTCGCCGAGATCAAAGATGCTATCGACAAATACAGCAGCGTCTATGTTTTCACCTACGATAACATGAGGAATCAGAAGCTCAAGGACCTTAGGGAGCAGCTCAAATCCTCTAGCAGGTACGGCGCCCACATGTCTTCTGCAATGTTGTTCCATCTGTCTAAATGCTGCAGTGGACAGGGCCTAATTTTGGTTCTGCTTTGGTCATCCATTTTACCCTTCCAAGCAATATTCAACTGCTCCACACCTTACTAAGCCTACACCTTACACGTATCAACAAAATTTGTTATATTATATGCTAAATAAATAGTGCACCCCTGGAATGGAACACATTGCTCCTATTACAGGGGCACAATGTTAGCTGAACCCTTTAAATTGCTAATAAGGCTTAGCTCCCACTTGTTTGATAGCTGCTGCATTTTCTGTTCCAGGATATTTCTGGCTGGAAAGAAGGTCATGCAGATAGCATTGGGGCGTTCACCTTCTGATGAAGCTAAAACAGGCCTCCACAAACTTTCCAAGGTGAGCTCTTCCTTTTCAGAATTCAGTAGGCACTGTATGCCAATTTCCAGACCACTAATATGAGGTTTTGATGAAAGTAACTTCGCTGTGTTTAGTTCCTTCAAGGTGACTCTGGTCTGTTCTTTACCAATCTTCCAAGGGATGATGTTGGGAGGTACTATCCGTATGCCATCACCATTACTTACATTTCTTGTTTTAGCCTACATAAATATTGATACGGTTATATATCATAATGGCAGGATGTTTCGAGAGTTTGAGGAGCATGATTTTGCAAGGACAGGAAGTACTGCGACAGAGATGGTATTCTAGTTTTGCTTTTCATGTATATCCTGGTTTCTTCAAATAGACAGGAAGACCATGTTCATGTTCATGACCAATGTCAAGTTTAGGCTCCTTGTGTTAATGTATTACCAATATATACTGATCGTATCACTCACACCAGGGTAACAGTACTTTGACAATGAAACTTATTTGCAATCGCTCCTTAGCCTGCTTCAGGTGTTATTATTCTTGATGTTAATGCCATTTTTAGTTTCTTGTATAATGTGTTTCACCAAATTTACACCATTTTTTTAATAACATTTACAATGCCTCAGGTGGAGCTTAAGGAAGGTCCTCTGGAACAGTTCACACATGAGATGGAGCCCTTTCTACGGAAGCAAGGACTTCCAGTTCGCTTGAACAAAGGTTTGTAGTCTCCCCTGCGTTACACAAATGCTTGAAATCGGCCACGAAAAGTGTTATTAAAAAGTCTACCATTGTTGGTGCAGGTGTTGTAGAGTTGGTTGCAGACCATGTAGTTTGTGAGGAAGGAAAGCCCCTTTCACCAGAAGCAGCACAGACTCTGGTATGAATTACTATGCGATGGTTGTCATATGTTTGATTTAGAATACATGTCATAATTCGCTATGTAACTTTGATCAATCTAAAGGAAGCATATTTTAATTTGCCCAGAATTGCATTCCCACCCCATTAAATTATATCTGTTGCAATTTGCAAAACATATCGATTGACAACTATTCGCTCATTACTGAAATCTGCTGTGCATAAGGTGTTCCAGTAGTCCAGTATCATCTCTATTGCAACTTTTGGAAGGCATGTGGGCATTTTGCATTGAAACCAAAACCTGCCCCATTTTATGCTTTTCTATTTCATTGCATTGAGCCCCCTTTGATTTCTCTTTCTTGCAGCGGTTGCTTGGAATACAGATGGCAACATTCCGTCTATACCTTGTGTGCCGCTGGTCGTGTGATGAGTTTGAAGTTTACAAAGAAGGCTTGATGCACCTAGGAGCTGATGATTCCTCTTAAGCTTGTGTTTTCTGTATACAAGGGTGCACTTTGCTGTCTTGACTGAGACAGTGTTTGGTAGTCTGCGTGTGGCCATGTACCAGTGAGGGTTGGAAATTAGAAAGATGCTATCTGCAGAAATTTTGCTAGTGTATTTCCTCATTCTGTCCCATCTTTACTCAACCGTTGAAAGGTGTAAGCTGATTCATATCATGTCAACAAGGTGTCACTTAAGAGGTTGATCGATTGGTAACCTACTCTTGTAAGGAATTGATTCTCTCCATGTGATTGTTTCTGAGATTCAGTGGGTATTTGTATGTGCGACGGAGGGTTGAACCTAAAGTAATTGTCTGGTTTCAGCTTTCTGAATTTGGTTTACTTGTTGAAACTGAATGTAGCTCAATGGCAAATGCTGAATCTGTGCTTCGTGTCACCCTTGAAACTGAATGTAGCTAAATGGCAAATGCTGAATATTGGCCTGGTGGCTAGGGAGCCTATAATTGATTAGACGTTTTCGCTCCTGTGTGAGCATCTCCTGAAAAACTTGCAGTGCTGACTAATTGTAATTGCTCACCCAATGGGAACCTAGTACTTGAACTGGTATGTTTTTTCATCATTAGACACAGGACAAGAGATTTGCTCATCCAACTCGTGCGTCCGTCAGTGACTCCTGTCCGGACGCAGCTCCCCAGGTGTGGGCCCCAAACAAAAAAAAATCCCTACTCCATCGTGCTTCACCCGCCTCCCACTCCTTCGTGCTTATCTGTCTGGCCCCGAAGCAATCTGCGCTCCTCCCCCTGCCGCGCGCTTGTTGGTTGCCGCGCCGTGCCCCATCGCCCCGGGCCCCATCGCCGGCCGTGCCGCGCGCCCGTCCCATACACTTGTGCCACTCGCTCCCTCGCCATTCGTTCGTCTGTGTCCCATCGTCGTCGCGCACGCCGCTGATCCTGCCATGGCCGCTGGGGTGCATGTGCCGTGGTGCCTCAGGTCTTCTCCGGCCGAGCCAAAAGGCACCAATTCATTTACAGTTTGTCATACATTTTTCAAAACCCACGAGCCTTGGCGGTCTTGGTGGTGCTTTTCGCCATGCTGCTGCTCACCGTGTCTCCGACCCCAACTGCTAGAATCAACCGACCTGGCCTTCCCCTCCCCTATGTTGTATATGTATGTTTCAGGTGTTTCAGGCGTTTTCGATGTATATTGCAATTGTTTCATCTTGATGTTGTAAAAGTAGATCGAAGGATGTTGCATATGTTGTAAGTGTTTCAGAGACATATTGCAAGAGTTTGTTTAAAATGTTTCATCTATTTCCAGATGTATTATGCAATCGTTTTAATCTAGATGTTGCATATGTTGCAACAGTATGTTCCAAATATTTCAGTTGTTTTAGTCTTATGTTGCAACAAGTTGTTCATGTTGCAAGTATTTTATTTTGGATGTTTCGTGTGTTTCACACATATGTTGCAAGAGCATGTTTCCAAATATTTTATTTGTTTTGAGTCTTATGTTGCATTCATATTGCAAGTGTTTTATGTTGTTCGGCCGGGGGCGGCGGGCGGGCCACGCGGCGGTGGACGGGGGCACTGGGGCCGGCGGTCGGGGGTGCTGCAGGTCAGGCTGGGGGCGTGCTCATCCTCAGCTGCTCATCCCGGCTCCCGTGTGTCACCCGCGTGGAGAGTCGGAGAGAGAGGAGGGGGTCAGGGGAAGGACAGGCGGGCACAGAGATGGGGCGGAGCGCACTCGTATGGGGAAATTCTGTAGCCAGCTCAGCTGCTTCCTTGGATTTTGTCTGTTCAAACAGTTCCTATAAACTTTGCACAACCTGCAATACAATTCAGGATTCCATGAAAACCCTTACAGACACACATAAGTTCGACTACACAGTTTGTAACCTCCACAAACAGTATAGGGCATCAACATTTAAATGGCTGCAAGGATAATGGTGAAAGAAGTTTGGGAACATAATATGTATGAAAAGTAGTTTCTATGAAAAGCTCATGAGCATCTAGTACGTGATTTTGAAGCTCCAGTTTTTCAGAGATACTCCCTCAGTTCATTTTTACTAGGCTTGTTAGATTTTCAAAACTCAAACTTCATAAATTCGACCAACAATAAGTCAAACTTCATAAAGTTGACTAAAAATAAGTGAAATTATGTGCATGGTTAGTTCATAAAAGTTAATGGAACAGATCCGTATTTCAAATGTCTTTCACTAAGACATTGATTTTGTAGCAATTGATGATATATTGTAAGATAAATTGGTGATCAAGTATATCTCTAAAGACTTTTTCATATCCTAACATGCCTACTAAAGACAAATGGACGTAGTAGTTTACAAGAGAGAGCGCGTCCACCACTCTCCTTACCTTGTCCTGGATGTAGCACAGATCAATTAGAGTTAGCAATGATTGCACTGATAGAGTGCAACACAACATAAATGTTATTATATATGTGTGCCTCTAACAAGAGAGAGAGAGAGAGAGAGAGAGAGAGAGAGGGAATGAGAGAGATATGAACATACACCAAAGAGAGAAAGAAAATACGAAACAATTAAATAAATAATCAAAATCTTATGCCACGAAACCATTCATTGTAGATCTGTGGTCTGCAAATTTCTTATCACATGGCAAGAGTTAAAATAGCAAGGTATTTGTAGCATTCATTTCTGCTCACTGATAGTGCCTCCCAATTTTCAACAGAAAATGCACAGTTTGACTTGATGCGGGCTCCAAAACTAAACTTCTAGCCCTCATAATTACTCTTGTAGTAGACTTTTAACAAGATCACAGTCATAGGAAAATAGTCTCAAATACAAATACAATGTGTCATATCTTTTCTTGTAGCAAGGCAAGGGCGTGTTTGGTTCTAGGCCTTAGTGTACCAAGACAAAATTTGGTCGTCCATCGTCCCCAAGAAATTTTAGGCACTATTTGGTTGGAGGCCAAACTTTTTTCCCCAAGAAAATTTTGGCTGGCCAAACATTTCAAAAGCACAAGCCAACCCAAATGCTCACCCAATTTTGGCCGACCCAAAATGTTGGCTTATCAGTCACGTATCAAGAAGAATTCAACTCAGCACAACTTAAAAGAAAGGAACATATGGTGTATAAGACTAATACCTAAAGCTTGCGTGATTTGGGCTTGAGAAGGATCGTTTGAATCATCTTGGGCTTTAATATATGTCCTTTGGCACTCCTCCACAGCTTTGATCAGGATTGACCTCTCTCTATGAAGAGCAACCATTTCGTCGTTCAATGCTTCCAATCTCAGTTTCACCCAACCATAGAAAAAAGCTGAGGTGCCAAGCACGGCCAAGCAAAGCACTTTGGTTGCAGTTGGCATGGGTGCAGACTTTACACTGAAAATCACAAATGCAAGCAACAAGTTTTCAATTATAATGAAGGCATTTGTAGCTCCAAAATTTGGAAAGAATTCATGATAAGTTATGGCTCCATAACAGGAACCGGTTAGTGGTTTTGTATTAATGACATGTGGGGCAGGGGCGACGAGTTAGTGATTCCTCATAATTGGCTTATGCTGAAATTTGGCTTATGCATTGAAATGCTGTGAGAGAAAGCACTATTCGTTCGCTGAAGTAGTGCAGCAGAACAGGATCACAATTGCATATCCTGGAAGGAACACGTGGGTGTCCATACCTGTGCAGTTGACCAGGAACATTCTTGTTCTGAAAGGGATCCTGAATGAAGCAGCAGAAGAAGAAAACAAGACATCAGACAACCTATAATTAACGAAAGAAATCGAATACATTCAGAGATGTAATAATATAATATGTATGCTATGTTTCTTTTTACCTTTTTCCCGGAATAAGTTTCTTGTGTAATCATAAAATAAAACAGAATTAGGCATTTTCGTAGACAGATTATTCGTTTATGTATTGTATTATATTTTTAAAAAGAAAATAATTATATAAAAAAGTAAAATTTAGCAACAGCCAAAGCTTACCTTGTCGACGGCGCTAGGACGAGAGGAAGAGCTAAATGGGCGGTGGGAGCCTGTTGGGGCAGACCGGCGGCCACCAAGCAAGATAGAGAGCGGAGGAGCACAGGGGGCGGCGGTCACCCCCTTCATCTTGGTCGTCACAGATCGAAGGAGCGCGGTTTCTGCCGCAGCGGCCATGAATCGAGACGAATAATAATCGAGTCGAATGGGGCAAAATGCAGGTTGCGTGGCCGGATTAGGGATCTGTTGTTCCCTTCCGATCCTCTCTCTAGCAACCCTAGTTCCTTGTCCATCTATCTACTCCTATATAGGGCAGGGGCAGGGGCAGGAATCGGACTCCGATGTCCAGACGGCCGCGGCGGCTTCCCTCAAGGCTCAGCTCAGACGATCCCGAATAGGAAGACCATCTTTGTGGCTCAAGACGATCCCTCAAGGCTCACCGTGCAATTTGTTTCTGAGATTGAGCATTTTGCATTTTGCAACAATGGTTCAATCTTGAATTCTTGATCAATTGTTTTGCTAACTGAATGGTTCAATTTAGAATTCTTGATCAATTGTTTTTAAAGCTGGCACATTTTTTTGTGTCCCAAGGATATTTCTTGCTGGAAAGAAGGTCATGCAGATCACGTTGGGGCCTTCACCTGCTGATTAAGCTAAAACAGGCCTGCATAGACTTTCCGAGGTGATTTGTTCTGTCAGAATTCAGCACCCTGTATTATTCCACATGACTTATTTGAGGTTTTGATGAAAATGACTTCTCTGTTTTTTAGTTCCTTCAAGGTGACTCTGGTCTGTTATTTACTAATCTTCCAAGGGACGACGTGGAGAGGTAGTATCCGTATCCCAACATTTTATTTGTTAATCACCATTATCATACTTAAGATTATGATCATATATCATACAATTCATACCTGCAGGCTGTTTCGAGAATTTCAGGAGCATGACTTTGCAAAGACAGGAAGTACTGCAACAGAAATGCCATTCTAGTTCTTTTCTCTCTCTTCCTTTTATTAATTTCTTCAAACAAACCAGGATGACTATGTTTAGGCATACATTCCCTTCCGGCAACCAACAGCAAGTTTGTGCGCTTCCTGTTTTTTAAAACATATTGGTAATGGAGTATTAGAATCACCAGCAATCAGAGTAACTTATTTGAAATATGTCATTAGAGCCTGCACATGAACATTGTTATTATATATTTTGCTATTGTTCTTGATGTTAGTACTCCCTCTGTCTTATCAGGATAGAAGGCGCAACTCCCTCTGGCACCAAGACCAATAAGTAAATTAACTCCTACACATTAAAGACGTTTTGGTCCTCCATCCAATTTACTGTGATGCCGCATGCGTGCATGCAGAAACGGTCTAGCCAATTAGCTTCCAGCATTCATGCATGCATGCTGCACAAATGCATTCCCGAGGGAGCCCAGGAGTCGATTTGGTCCTGCATTAGTTGTTGCATGCGGGAGGTAAAGTGCTGGCGCCTTGTATCATGGGACTAAGAAAAAAAAACAGTTATGCCTTATATCCTGGGACGGAGGGAGTAGCATTTTTTTCTTGTATAATGTGTTTGACCAAATTTAGATATTTTCACAATGCCTTAGGTGGAGCTAAAGGAAGGCCCTCTGGAACAGTTTACACATGAAATGGAACCTTTTCTACGCAAGCAAGGACTGCCAGTTCGCCTGAACAAAGGTTTGTAGTTGTCACCTGCATCTACACATATTCGTGAATCTGCAAGCAAATTGGTTAAAAAGTTCAGCATCGTTTGTGCAGGTGTTGTAGAGTTAGTTGCAGATCATGTTGTTTGTGAGGAAGGGAAGCCCCTTTCACCAGGAGCAACAAACTCCGCCAGAAGCAACAAACTCTGGTAAGGTCATCCTGTAGAGTTACTATGCATGCTTAGCTGCATATATGATTTAAAATAAGCTTGATCGAACTAAGAGGAGCATCTTTCATTTTTTTACTATAATTACATTTTACACATCTTAAAATTGAATACCTTGGTTGATGAGTTTACATGAAACATTAATAGGCAATTCATTCTTACTGTCATCTGCTCTTCATTAGAGTGCTGCAGTAGTAGTTCATTTCCATTTGCCCATCTCTATGTTAACTGTTGAAATCCATCAACAGGCCTATTTCTTTTCTTTGACTCCACTTTGATTTATCTTTTGCAGCGGTTGCTTGGGATACAGATGTCAACATTCCGTCTATACCTTGTGTGCCGCTGGTCGTGTGATGACTTTGAAGTTTACAAAGAAGGCTTGATGCACCTAGGAGCTGATGGCACCCTGTTCGCTTGATCGTATCAGCCATGCTTATCAGCCATGATACAGTGTTTTTATCTCACAACAAAATAGCATCAGCCGACTTATAAGCCACAGAAATGATCAAGCGAACAGGGTGTTAATAGCTTGTGTTTCCTGTAAACAAGGGCGCACTTGCTGTCTTAATTGGGACAGTTTTTTGTATTCTGTGTGTGGCCATGTGCCAGTGAGGGTTGGAAATTAGAAAGATGCTATCTGCAGAATTTTTGCCAGTGTATTTCTTCATTTCGTCCCATCTTTACTCACTGTTGAAAGGTGTAAGCTGATTTGTATATCATATCAACAAGATGTTGATTCTCACCATGCGATTGTTTCTGAGATTCAGTGGGTATTTTGTATGTGCGATGGAGGGTTACCTAAAGAAATTGTTTGGTTTCAATTTTCTGAATTCGGTGTACTTGTTAAAATTGAATGTAGCTCAATGGCAAACGCCAAATCTGTGCCTGGTGGCTGGGGAGCGCGTCATTGATTAGACGTTTTCACTGCTGCCAGGCTGCATCTCCCGAAGAATTTGCAGTGCTTGGTTTTCACTAGTTAATTGCTTACTGAATGGGAACCTGGTACTAAAACTGCTATGTTTTGTCAGCATTAGGCACAGGACGAGATTTGCTCATTGGTTCTGGACCCCAAAGAAACGTATAAATGATTCTCAAGTTACATGAATGGATCTTTTTGGTACTCGGGCACTCGGCTAGAAGTAGGAAACACATGCAGAGGACAATTGGCCTGGCAATTAAACGAGTATGCAAGTCCAGTAAGGTGATCAATCACTCGTTCAGTCACCTCAGAGCCATCCAAAAATGAACATGTATTACGATCGACTCAAGGCCATATGGTCATCCAACCCCTACCCTCCGATTGATCTAAAAGGAACCACTAACCAAAGAGATCAGGATTTGCTATAGGAGAGTATCAGCAAAGAAATCACATCCATACATGTGACAATTACTTGCTTAGATTCATTCATCATGTCTAGAGCATTGGAAAATATTTTTACTACAGCCGTACAGGTAACAGATGGGGGAGATACACTTGTCACAAATCATTTTAATCACCACTCAGCAAAAGGGGTACACTTGTCACAAACCATTTTCATCACCACTCAGCAAGGGGGGAGATACACTTGTCTTTGATAACCAATTATTATCACAAACAAAAACAAATAATCACACATATGTTGCTCGTCTTTGTCCTCCATTGTCGGTTTCATAACCTTTCTTGTCTTCCTTATCCTTTCTTTCCAAGGGTACCTCAACTCTTTTCTCCATGGCTCATCTTAAGCCACCTAAGCTTGGCATCACAGATGCTCCTTACCTTGTCCTAGATGTTGCACAGAACAATAAAAGTTAGCAATTGCACTGCTGAAAAGTGAAACACAGCCTATCTAGTTGATGCACAATAGCTAAAACAAAACAATTGTGTTTCCAACCCATTATAAACTTACACACCAGAACCATGCAATGAACAAATTAGTTAACATCTTACGCCACCAGACTAGATATGATACAGACACCATGCACTTTCCAAAATGGTAGTGTGTAGTACAATAGTAGTAGGTCATCTAATATCATTTTCTGCTCAGCAGTAGCTTCCCTCGGATTATTGCTGCATCCATTTCAAAATGTAAGTGCAAGCGAATTGTGAACACTGATTTGTTATTTCATATTTATTATTTCTAACAGAATGATGGACCTAGGAAAGTAATCTCAGATTGGAAATAAATGATAAACTTTTTGTGTCACAAAATGTGTACCATTAGATTAATCAGTTAATCACTGATCAAAGATGACAAAGTTTGAAAGTCAATACGTATGGGCAGCATAGAAAAATGGAGAGTATAAAACTAATACCCGATGCATGTATCCTTTGGCCTTCAGAAAACTTGCCCACTACATCTCTAGCTTCAATCTGACTTTCCTTGTTAGAAAGGAGCACCACACGTGTCCTTTCATGGTCTTTCTTAATCTCTTCCCTCATGGTCACCCATGCTACACGTTGAGCGTCCAATTTGGCGTCTATACGGTCCAGTGCCGGAATGACATAAAAATATATAAAAGCGAAGCCACTGAACACCAGGCTGTAAGCTGCCTTGGGTGCAGCGTCTTTGACTCCAGCTATAAACCTGAAAGTGATAAATGCAAGTGACAATTCGTTCTAAAAGGAACACTTATCAGTTATTCCTTTATAGATAGATATTGAAATTGGAAGGAGAAGTCTTACCAGTCCCACTCATTGCCACCGGGAACTTTCTTGTTATAAGTTTGAGGACCCTAGAGAAACATATAATAGAACAAAGAGCATCATCAATACCAGTAATATGAAGGTTATCAAGATCTCGATATGTATCTAGGTTCACATGGTCACATAGAGCTGGCATGACACAAATTGGCAAAGAAAATTAATTTCACGTAGTCATAAGAATAACGATAATCACAGGTAAAGGATCAAGTGTGATCCTGTAGTGTCATACCTAGGATCATGAATGTGGTGGCAAACATGTCAACAATGAAAATTCAATAGTAATTTTAGGATTTACATATGCTAGATAGATATGACAAAAGGGGGTCAGGTGGGTGAGAGTGAGACCATGGGGGTAAGCTTCATGGTAGAGAGGGAAACAGCCCCGATCAGCAGCTAAGCCCTCAATGACCAGGATTTATAACCTTAACAGTCTATATATACACTTACAACGGAAGATGGATGCGTGTCAATGTTGAATAGAAGTATTTCAGATTGTATATCTAATAAAAAAAATAAAAGCAAGAAAGAAAGATGCGTGATCTTCTACCATCCTATACTA